CTCTCTCTTTCTCTCTGTCTCTTTCTCTCTGTCTCTCTCTGTCTCTGTGTTTCTGTGTCTCTCCCTGTATCTGTCTCTCTCAGAAGAATTTTCACAATCGCAGGGGCAGAATACGCAATGAAGACGTCTTAATACTCATGCTTCAGTGTGCAACGGGTTGGGTCAAGGGCGGTTACGTCGCTGTCGCTGTCGCAGTCACTGTCGCAGTAATTCAGGGCGCTTGAGTCGCTATAAAATCATCATCAACACGCGTCTATGTGAGCAGGCGTTTCCATCGTACTATACCTGTATTCTTCCTGGAAGTGCAAGCAATAAGTTGACAAAGTTTTATCGCATTCTGATGAACGGCACGGCAGCGCATTAAGTATGAACAACAAACATTGCCTTTTATATATAAGATTATGGTGTAATTACCGTATTAATTATTATTAGAAATATGTAACCGAAGCAGATAACTTTCCCGGCAATTTGTAGGAAACTAACAAATTTACTAGCGTCATAGAATTTTTTATAATTTATAAACGAAAAATAGAAAATATTATTGGATCCACCCAAAATATGCATGAAAACTATTTCTTTTTATGTATATTTTTAAATTCAGTATTATCAACGTGCGTGACTCAGATGACTCTTTCTTCAATTTCTACATAAATTCTTGAGCATAATTGTATTTGTTTAAATAGTCTCGTTTCCCCTGTGGCAACGGCAAAAAGAAAACATAATTACTTATATTTTACATACTAGGAAAATTCCGACATCGATTGTTTGCGCAATAAGCACACTCCTGATACGACAATCCATGATTACAAGTAGCACGGAATTATAAAATTCTTGTAAAAACCGATACCATTTAAAAAGAATCTTTTTTGGTACCTGCAATATATTTAACAAAAAAACTGTAACAGCTTCGGTTTCGGTCTGACTAATGAAGCGGTTTTTAACGGATTCGGTGACGGGTTGATAGTCGCCGAAGTTTTAATCAGAGAGAGTAGAGCAGAAACAGAGGGGGCGCCGGCAGACATGCTCGAGTGATCGGAGCAGCTGCGCGCATTCTCCCCGGGGCCTTGATTTTATGGACCATTATCCTCTTTGGAGAGGCAAACTCAAACGCTCACGTGGGGCGCTCGCGTAAAATGCCATTAGGTTTGAAGACATTGCTCTTATAATTTCCATTATAGGACCTTTGTTGGATTTTTTAGGGATATTTTATCGCCTTCTTAACAATCTTTGGGAAAGGCTGAGCTTACCCTGCCTGCCGCAATACCTCTGAAAATGATTGTAAAAATCTAGAATCGTACCAACTGACATATGTGTAACTCCGTTAAACGAAATTTCCCATT